TGTGTACACTTCCTGGGGATTTGAGTCTCTGATATGTCATGTGTTTCAGCCCTGCATTTGGTGGATTAGAGATGTAATTTCTTTAAACAATAACATAAATTGTATGCTTAATCCAATACACATGATGCAAAAGAGCATACTTAGTGGAGAATGCTGTGGCCTCATTGGCAATGTGTTGCTATACACTCATAAAATTCTTACACTAATAGGTATTGTTCATTTTTAATGTTGTAGCTACAGAAGACATAGCTCCATAAGACAGACCACATGCCATCATTTTTACAGACGGAAAATCTTGTTCTGCTCCCCTGTGGTTTATAATGATTAAACCATTAACTATATTCGAAGGGGTGAAGAAAACAAAAACTTAAATGTCCTGGGAGATGTTCTCTCTGCTTGTACCTTTAGGCTTATAACCATTTGGGCTGTCAAAATGTTTCTTTACAAAAATCTTTTTTCTTAAATTTTCAATATGCCCATGATGAGTGGAGGTATCTCTGACTAGCTAGATGATGGGTTATTAGTTGAAACATTAATTAGTGAGGGGAGAGAGTAACAAGTCAATCCTTCACTCTTCACTCCCTTTTTTTTATATGCCACTTTGTTTTGGGTATACGAGTTGGCTAAAGTTTGAGGGGGAAAAGGATGGCTCATGTTTTAAGATTTGAGTCCAGCCATTTCATTTGTTACTATTCTAAAATTGTTCTCGGGTATCTCAGCCATAACTCAGTGAGTCAAGTACTGAAGTGTTTCTAACAATTTCTGTATGAAGTGATTTCAAATATTTCCTCTCTCAGCTAAAGGCCTAATGCAGAATTCTGTGATACATGATTAATTTTTACCCCATGCTGCAAAAATGGTGGGCGGCTAATCTTCAACTTTACTATGAAGCATCACTTCCTTGTTTAAGATGGGCAACTACTTTATTTACTGTAATCGAAAACAGTCTGGTTTCTTTTCTAATGTTTACTGCTGGATCAGATGCAGGTTTGTTTTCATGTTACATTTGTATTATTCCCATGTTCAAAACCAGTAATTCCTAATCTGAAACGTGTGCTGCCTTCTAGAAAATGTCTTTTTCTTTGGTTAGCTTACTTGAGGTAAGTAGATCTAATAAAAAACGTGCAGAGGGTGTAATGTAATGGAGCTCATGCTTCCTGCTGTTGTACCTGGTAGTGGGTGAACTTAGAGGATTGCAGCTTGGTAGGGGAGATTAGGAAAGTCCTCTGCTTGATTCTCAAGTCTGGGATATACTGGAAGGTGTTTTTCAGCAATTACTGAGAGAAGGTGATGTGCAAAGGAGGCTTGGAGAGAAAACACATCTCTGAGCAAACTACTACTTATAGTAGGATAAAGAAATTATAAACCAAATTAAATGTGTCTTTTAAAAAAAATAGTAATCTGTTTATACTTGGCATTTAAACAACTATATTATTAAGACTACACTACTGGAAGTAACATTATTTACCTTTTTTTGTGTGTGTACTCATCACAGCTTTTACAGATCAGAATACACAAGGTAAATTTCCTCCAAAAATACAACAGAGAGTATGGAATCTGTTTAAATAAAACACCATTACAGTTGTGAAACAGGATACGGTTATGAATTAAGATACACCTCTGTGGAAAACATTTCTGCACTATATATATGCATCAGAAACACACACACATATATAAACACCACTTTAAGTAAGTGATAACTTTGGGGGCTTTTTGATTACCAAAAATTGTCAGAGCATGGGTGTGTATACAATTTATTGTGAATCTGAGTTTTTCTGTCACAGACACCTTTTTAATAGTGCATTTTTATAGAAGGGCAACTGCACTCAGATAATCTGACCAGCAGATGTTATCTAAGACATTTGCAATGACGTTTTTTCCATGTTATAAACAATAATACTGGGTTTGTGCCTTACTGATGCTTAAGGCTCATCTTTTCTAACCATTTGTTAAATATTCCTTTTCCAGGTAAAGTAATGATGTTCTAGTCCTGGGAACATTAATGAGACAAATTGATTTTCCCTCTAAGTGCCTTGGTTTGTAATCTTCCAGAAACATATTTCTGAATAAGTTTTATTTTTACTGTTGCGATCCCACAACAAGGTTTACTGCAATTCATAGCTGCATAAACACAAGAATGTCAACAGTAAAGGGAGATGAATTTTAGAGGACGTTGATGGAACCCTATTGAAAATGATTCCACGGAAAGCCCTAGAAATAGTGACAGTAGAAAATGTATTGCTGGTATGTGTTTAGAATCTATTTTAGGTTGATTTATTCAAAGAAGATATAATACGCAGCTGAACCTCAGAAGATTTGAAAGACTGGATAGGAGTGTGTTCATCATGGAGGACTACACACAATAATAACCTACTTGCTTGGGGATGATTAGATGCTATTTTAAAGGTTTGTCTATTGCTTACGTCTCAAATTCAAAACCAGTATTTCTATTCTATAAATGAACAAGCTACAGCACAAAGTAAAGTAACTTGCATCTTTTCTCTATTTCTTCCAATTGCTATGTGAAAGTTCTACACAATTTTTTTCTTGCCTTCTGTTTTTGTCCTTCCAGACAGGCCTGAGTACATGTTTAAATTAGTAGCCTTAATTTAAAAAGAGGTGTGATGGTTAGCATTAATAAGAATACATAATTTGAAAGCAAAGTAAAAATATTTTTGGCAAGATTCGTTTTCTAGTTGCATTACTCTACAAGAATTAACTAAATCAAAGTATGCTGAGAAGTATTTATGTCTCAGTGTTCACTGAAACAAGAGACAGATCCTTTGTTAAAATTGGTATGACTGCAATTTTTAGCTTACTGAAAGAAATGCATCATTTAAATTTTTACTAATTATTTTAAATAAGTGTCTTGAGGTCCTAACTGGGACCAAAAGAATTTTCTTTTCAAGCTGTATGGGATATGTGAAATAAAATGTAAGGAGTGTAAGGAAAGAACTGTAATGTCAGGTATAAGAGAATTTAAATGGGGCTATTTTTCCGTAAAAGTACACTAAATTAAAAGGTATACCTGAAGCATCAAGAGTAAAGAGTCAATAATAGTGCTGCAAAAAAAGTGTAGCTTGAGACTGCTGCGTATATATCCTCAAGATAAATAATAGAGTTAATTATAAAAGTGGAAATGCTTTTGGTTAGACCCCTGAAAAAAGGGTATCCTCCCCTGTATTCTTGGTCCTGTATCAAATGCCTGTTCACATTCTAGTCCATTTTATTAATCCTTCCTTTTTCCTCCCATAATACTCTGGTTGTATTCAGTTTAGTTGTTGCATGTTTATATAGCATTCCATATGAAATATCTCACAATGGTTTCTAGTTCATACCTAAAGAATTCCCCCTTAATTGCAGCAATTCTTAATATTATCAAAAGCATGCTAAATACAACAGGTTAAAACAAGAAATGAAGACTACAACTGATACTGCAGGAAAAATTTGTGTAGGCAGAAGTAGTCATCACAGATGGGATTCATTCAGTATACTGCTGTTAGTTCTACCACCCACATAATCCCTATTATCATTTCCTAGCAAACACACTTCATTGGCTCTGAAGAAATCTCTATTGTCTGTTCCAGCAGATAGCTGAAGTAACTGTGATTATATGGATATAAAGTAGTTAAAGGTCATGTCAATTAAAAGAAGTTTTAGGTTTTTGAAGGTCATAATAATTAAAAGTATATTTTTATTTGATGACAACCAATAATGTAATTTGATTTGAAGAACCACTACCAAACTTATCCTTTATTACTAGAAGTATTCTTCCTGCAAGTAGTGAGCATTGGGATATTGTGGTACAGTTGTTCTCCCTGTTCCCTACTTGTTTGTTCGTTTGTCCCACTTTTAATGAAGTGATACTGTATACTTGGGAAAGCGATGTGCTGTCACAGAGGAAGGAAGCAAGGTTCTGCCTTTTTGCTGAAGCATAAGCTGACACTCCTGATTTGTATACAGGGTGGAGTTCTGCATTATTTTTATTCCTGTGAGTGTTGACAGTGATGACAGTTCTTACAGGAGAGAGACTACTTTGATGATGTGCGTAGCTAGGTATGAGGATGAAACTTGCATTAAATTATTGTAAGGGGCATAATGACTTAGGAAAGCTGGGTGAGTGAATGGGAAGCTAGAAATTCTGATTCTTCTGCCTTTTCTGGAGAAAAAAAAAATTGCTGTAATGCAAGTTATAAAGCAGCTTTGCTGTAAACAGGATCAGATAGATCCAAATCAAAACAGAAAAAAACCCCGAGTGCTTTTTTTGTTATTTTAGAGAGAAAAAAATGCTAAAATTATGAAAAATTGCCTGATCTGATTCACAGATAGGTTTATCAGCACAAGTATGAGGAGCAAGGCACTGTGGTATAAGGGTGGAAACTCCACAAGCTGGTGTAGCTGCCAGAGGACTCATACTGTTAAACCACAAGCAAAGACGTCATAGTACCCTTAGCAGAGTTTAATTAAAACTTCCAAATAATCCATTCTTCTGATGGTCAGTTCATTTTGAGTTAGGGGAGAGTAATTGTTTTTAAGTAGTTTGCCTGCAGCAGTGAAGTAGACTACAGGAATTTCTTGTTTATGAGTTCTTCATTAATTACCAAATCAGAGTCACATGGCTTTGCATTCTTAAAGGCAATATTAGCTGCTAAATGTTAGTTGCTAAAGGTCATGGAATTATAACATGAAGAGCTTGCTCTTCAAGCACTATCTTGTCACTTCTTGTTCCTCCATTTACCGAATTGTTAACCAACATATTTAATGCCTCAGGGAATCTCCATCTTACTATTCTTTCCTTCCTAGCAGCTTTACTGATTTCCATGAATGAAACAATAGAGATTTCACAGGTTGATTTCCTCAGTTAGCTTTATTTCAGCCATCTGGTGGTGATGTCACATATAATCACCTGTGTCTAACAAGCATCTCATAGTTTTCCTTCCTTGGGGACTGAAAGTACAATACACATACCAGCTCTTTATCAGACTGTATTTGTATTTGCTATCATGATTCAGATAAACAGGAGACTAGTTCAGCTGTTTCAGTTGCGTTAGATAATTTCCTGCAACTTTACTCATCCTCCCAATTAACGTGAATACACATTTGGGTTTTTTTCCAAGTTAGCCATTAAAGAGGTTAAGTAGAATGGGCCCTGTGACTAATGTTTCCTTGGCTCTGACTGTATTTTGCTGCTCCCCTAGAGTATTCCATACTACTTTATTAGCATGCAGGGGATATTCTGAGATTCCTAATTGTAGGACAACACTTGAAAATGTTCTAGAAATCTCAGAGCTCCACAAAGAGAAATCCTGGCCGTAAGTAAGACCCAGTATTAATACAGCTCCCTATTGCTGAGCTTTCATGTTCTGTACTGATTTAAAAAACAATCACCAGTGCCACACCAAAGCTTGGTCAAGATGGTGCTGCAGGAATTGGATGAGGCTTTTCAGCCCCTACAGGAGTTTGTTCCACTAACATTGCAAAGGTAGTAAACAGTCAAGTTTTTGTCATTGTTGATGCCTTATCACAGGCAACAAATTAAAAATGCAGTTGCTGAACTATTTTACTACAAAGTTTAAATGTAATCCTCTTGTTTTAGACATGTCAGCAATATACAGAGGCAGCAGCGAAATGGAAACGGCATGATCTGTCAATGAGCAGTAAGCATTTCCTCCACCAGTGTTTAATTATGAATCATGATTAATCTTACTGCTATAGATTAAAGTCCTGATCTTAAATAGTCATTTGCACAGAAAATGGGTTTGTTCAGGAGCTGAGGCTTGTCTATGTAGACACTTACGTGGAACAAGAAACCCCTTTTGTTTTAAGTTAGCTTTAGAAATCACCTTAGCTAAATCAGAAAAGGCGGCACATATTCTAAAATAAGAATATTCACTTAACAGTGCTCTTCTGCAATGCTTCTCTAACTAGGGCTACACTCCAGATCCTAGTGCTGCAAAGAAAACTGAGTACTTCATCCACACCCCACTGTATGTAAGAAATGGCACATCTAATGCCTTAGCTAACTTTCTTCTATTGCCTTTTACGCTACCCGGTATGTTTCAGACACATAGATAGTACTACTGGTGTTACACATTATGGATGTGTTGATTTCTGCTTTTAAGTCAACCTGCTGTCTGAAAGTTGATTTCCTCCTTCTGTATCCTACTCAAGAAAAAAAAAAAATCTATTTTAAGTATAAGCACTGGTTTTACCTCCCTTATCTTTTGCAGAGATTTGTGTGTTAAGAATCACAAACAGGAAGAAATACTCTGCAACCTTCATGCAAATTTCTGACACAGATTCACTAATGGAAGAATCAGTTGCAGATAGCATTATTTCAGTAGAAATTGTAGCTTTCATAACCCAGACATTGCTGCCCATATGAACTTTCTTTCTCTACTAGAAAATCAAGCAAGTCAGATATCAAGAAGCATTAAGTGTTGAAGTAGGTTAAGTTTACCTAAAAGAGCAGTTAACTGTGCTCCAAGGGCAGGTTAGCAGAAGCTCCTCTTGCTTTTCAATTAACATCTAGGAGATCAGGCAGCACATTGATATAGCTCAGTCCCAGTGTGCTACGTTCTAGCTAAGGTGAAGCAAATCCTGCAGTGATTAATGTTTTTTCCCTAGCTTGTTTTCCTCAGCTCTGTAATTGGAAAATTGCTAAAGCAGGTCATTTGAAGTATGTGTAGTATTTTAGGAACTATAACTTAGTGATCATAAATTTGCATTACAAATGCACATATAGCTCCTTACCTGGCATAAATTTTCTATCTGAACCACTTATTAACTATACCACAACTCTGACCCACCCTGTAATCACCACTGGCCTAATATCTGTTCATTTGAAGCTCAATTTTCTTCTAGTTTTTGTTCTCTATTCCCTTCTTCTGGATGCCTTTGGTTTTATGTAAAGAAACAAATAGTGAGTTCTTTCTACTTGTCATTCATTCTTCTGCAGTGGGGAAACACTGAAAAACCCCATACAGAAATGATGAAAGTGATGAAAGAATCTGCTAAAATATATCAAGGGAAGATGCAGCAAGAAGGAAGACTGGAAGGTGGAAAAAATGTCAAGAATGCGTGAAAGAAAGATGTCACCTATTCTTTTCAAATTGAGTAATGCTATATCTGCCTTTTTAAAAAAGCTTTCAGAGAAATACAACTGATAGTTTTACTCTACTCACAGTAGGTATAGCTATTAAGCTTAAGCAGAAGTATAAATTTTGAAGAAATTAAAGGCAACACAGTGTTTGGCATGTTTGCCATCAGCAGGTAAGGTTCTCAAGTTCCTGAGTATTCAAATACAAAATTTAAGTTATGGCCAGATACTGCAGTCAGAGAGATTGAAAAGCAAAACTTTAATCAAGCTGAAAGATTTAACATGTTTCAGTGAAGTAGTTAAAAAGATGTACGTAAGCATTAAGTCATTAAAATGACTTAAGCCTCTTAAATCTTCTCAAAAGCAGATTAGGCTAAATTTAAAACATGACATGAAGTCCAGTTTTGGTTTTATACATTATGTATCCTTGGTACTGAATTCAGTATGTACAGTTCTGAAAACTGATTTTTGTAAGATAGTATAGGTTCCTAGAGTCTCCAAAGTACAATACTAGCTATGGAGTTATTTTAACAGCTATCTGCAAAAACCACTAATGACCCATCCTAGTAATACATATATTACTTCTAATTTATCAGGAAAATTCTTTGAAGTCAGTTAAATGTTTGTTTATGCTCATATTAACTGCTGCCACAGTGCGTGATTTCATTATTCCCTTTAAATTCTGAGATTTTCATAAGCTTAAATGGCAGATGAGGGCTCACGTACTATCAATTTTCTCATACAATATGCACATGTTATTACTTACTGCTTTGCAAAATTTGTGACTAAAGGAAGAGCCTTTCAGAATAATTCTTTAGCTCTACTGAATATGAAGGACAAAAAAAGATAGTTGCCAATAGTGTACTTTTTAAAAACCTCTGTAAATATTTTGCATTGTGTTTTAATAACAATACAGCTTTTGCTTTTAAACCTTGCAGAACTAAGAACTCTTCAAAAAAAGGCTTTAAAAACAACTTTTTGTACCCTTAATTATTGCACTGCAAATTGACAAAAAGCTGAGAATTAAGTCCTCACACTTGGCATACTATTAAATGACATTTTAGAAGTAAATGGAGTATTTCAAAAGTTCTAGCCAAAAAAAGATATAATTAGGGGGAAAAAAAAAAGGAAAAGAGGCTTAATGCTATTGTAAGAAATACTGGCTAATTCTATTAAGAAGTTTAGTTACAGAAAGTTGGTCTTTTTGGAAGTACTATTGAAAAAGTTTAACATGGAACTTTGAAGAACTGTAGAAAACAAAATATCTGTATTCTAAAAATTAGGTTAACAATACACTCCAGCATACTTTGTCCAACATGTTTAATTCCTTGTTGCTCACTGGATTTATTCTTTCTCTAATTACAGCAGATGGATCAGGTACAGTTTTAGAATTGACTTCCCTATGGTTGTAACTTGCTTCATTTACAGTAAAGATGACGAACCACCAAATTCATACTCCAAGAAGAGAAGGTGTCTTTAATGATGGCCAGCACCAGAGGACTCTGAAACAAAGACACAATTTAGACTGTTCAAACAGTAGAGCAAATCAACTCAGGAACATAGCTCAGAACCTAGAACAGACAACTGTATCTACACCTGAGCAAAAGAACTGGCAGATTTAGCTGCCCTGTCAAATAAAACAAAACCCTGAAACTACATACATAAACTTGGCCAATACTAAAAATCCTCTTTCGCAAGTTTTAAAAGCACTATCGTAGGCAAACATCCATTCTTCCTCAGTTTTGGTATGGTTCTTTCTAAATTAAAGTTTATGCTATTATCCTTAAGCCTACTGGGCAGTATTTTCACTAATTACACATTTTAAAATGTAAATAATGTTTGTATATACAAAGTCAGCTGGGAGCAAATGGGCTATCATGGTGCAGAAAATTAACTGAGATTGAGCAGCTCATGATAAACTAAATTCCAATGTGATGTCAGAAGAAACTGTCCATAAATATCTGAATGCTACTTTATAGAGGATATAAAAATACAAATTCAAAATACAAGTTTAAACTTCTTAGTTTCTTAACAGCTAAAATAGAAGCTACTCTTGAGATCATGCTGATTTTAGTAATTCCATTAAATGGTTGTTACTATTATTTAAAAAAATTTCTCCCCTCCACAATCAAGGCACACAACTTCCATTCTACTCCTGAAACCTATGCAAAGGACAACTTAAGACAAGAGGTAGCATCTGTGCAGATTCACAGATGTTTCTAGGTTATAAAACCATCAATACAACGCAAACTACATATTTTGAAGTAGTCTTTAAACATTTTCTAAATCCATAACTTAAACCCCAAACTTACGTAAAATATGCTGAGCTCATTTTTATGGCACTCATTTAAAAAATAGAGTATTAGATATTTAATACTTACTATCTGCCACTGCTTTTTTGCCTGGAAAAAAAAAAAAAAAGAAAAAACAAGCTGAACAATGACAGTGTAAAAAAATACTTCCTATTTATTTTTTGCAGATAAACTTCAATTAGATTATAATACTTATGATTTGCTAACTTAGCTTGAACAAGGTTTAAAAAGTGTACAACATGTACTTTCCATGGTACATGTCAGTAAATGTTGTCTTGATTTTTTAGAAGTTGTTTGTTTTTAATTAACCAAGACTCCAAACATTTAGAAATTGTACCTATCAAGACTCCTACTGTAATTCAAAAGAAACATATAAAGAATGGTACTGTTTTACATAATATATGGATATACATACACACAACATACAGATGTAAACTGAAGCGCTAAGAATACAGTTTGCTTTAAAATCTTCCCTTGAGGTTGTGCAATCTACACCCTTGGAAATATTTATTTGAATTATTAAAAAGCTTTTAAAAACCTGTATTTTTTTGCACACCTTGAGCAAAAACTCAAAAATACAAGGATTCTAAAAAAACTTCTAATCAAAATATGTTCTAGTTCAGAACAGTCTTAATTTCCCTTCAGGACAAATCTACAGGAGAAGCCTCTGGCTATACGTTGCAAGTTAGATGTGTGTTTTTAAAACCAATTCCTACGTTACCTAATCTTCACAATGTAGGCAGAGTTACACTGGTATTTGAGTATTTTTGTTAGTATAACCTTCTACACTGAGCATATTAAAACTTGTAAATTTTATGGCAGAGACCTAGCCTTAAGTAAGAGTGTTCATTTCTTATTTGCTCAATATTTTCAATGACTGATTTGTAATCGTTAAGGATATTCTTACCTATAAACCTTATCTATAAAGTAACAGCTAATGAAGACTATAATGTGTAACTTACCACCATATGAAATTTTGTAATAGACATAAGCTGTTAATGCTACACCAACCCATATTTCTTGATACACAGTTGTGAAGTAGAATTTCATGGCTCTCAATGACTTTGGAAGCATGGTCTGCACCATCTGAAAAGTATAAGAAGTTTTACAATGGTTAGTTTTGCAACTGTATTCTTACCTGCTATGTTTTTAATATATATACACAGATATACGTATTTTTATATATATATATATACACACACACTCCTGATATATATCAGCAGCAGTTTACAGGTTAAAAAAAATCCCCAAACATGCAGAAGTACTTATTCCAAAGCAAAGCAATAAAAATTCAGAGTTAAGGTTACTATTTATGGGCTAAGACAATAAAAAACAATAAATTACAGTTGATGAAAGGGTTCAAAGATGACTCAGTAGAGCATTTACAGAGCAGCAATAGCTTGGCTTCTCTCTCCCTATCAGTGACAGCTCTTTTTAATGTTTCCAAATTGTCTCAGGAGGGAAGTCTCATTCCAGACAAGCTAGAGAGGCTCCTTCCTTGCACTACCAATTTAGTTTCCCTCCCTCCCCCACAGCTAAGATGTCTCTCCCAACATGGTAATTTCTACTCAAAATAGCAAAATAAATTATGTTAAACTACTGACTTCATAATTTATTATGAATATTTTACTTTCAAAGTATGCCCCAAGAGCAAGAAGCCTATTGATGTTTTTCTCTTTTCTATACAGCTTTGTTAGACAAACAGAAAACTGCAAGATGTTTTAAAATAAAGCTTACCCTGTCTCCCATACATGTTAGTACAAATTTGCACCACATTGCACTGAAATATTACTTGTTATACTGTCTTACATACAGCACTTCACCCCAATAAAGTCACTATTTACACTTATTACAAGCCAATAAAGTCAACTATGTACACACGTAGATGGTATATGGTAAATCAGAGTCCCAGGAAACAAAAGCGTATTTAAACTTAGAATCATAGAATCATTTAGGTTGGAAAAGACCTTCAAGATCATCGAGTCCAACCATTAACCATGCCCACTAAACCATGTCCTGAAGTACCCTATGAACTTCTATGAGGTGATGCTTACTCACTTATTTGCCATTACTAAATGTAAAGCATCCTTTGGCAAGCATCAAAGAGAAAAGGATGCATGGGTAGCCAATGCCAAAGCAACTGGAAAAATCTAGGTAATTCTTGAAAAATGAAAGCATTTTCATGGTAATTAATGTGTAATTATAGACAAACCCACATGTATCTTTATTTGTTTATAGACAGACATTTCAATCAAATTTATTATTGTGGACATTTCCTGAAACAGTGTTGTGCTTTCACCAGTACTGTTAAGAACACTGCAACTGCCCCAAAGTTTCCCGTATTTGTAGTTTCAGATGAACAGTACCATAATAGCAGTCATTCTGCTATAACAGAATATCAAAACATAGTAACAAACAAGGAGACTGAGCAGAAAGGAAGAAAAGGATTTTCCCACCGCTACGCAGAGAACAAGCAATATTGTTTCCAATTAACACCCTGCTAAAACCCGGCAGAGGCCTTTCCCCAAGGCCTCGGCGGGGGCGACGTCGTTGTGGCCTTTTTTCCGAAACCTATCCGGAACAACGCCGGATTTGCTTTCTCACAGACCTCCCCGCCACGACCCCACCTCAGCCCGGGGTACCTGACCCTCAGCCCCATCCGCACAGGGCGTGGGGGAGGTGGGTAACGGCAGAGCTCGAGCGCCGATGGCCGACGCCTTCCCCCGTCCCCCCCTTTTCCCCAGGCTGAACCAAACTGCCTCCCCGAGACACCCCGAGCGATGCCTGCCAACAACCGGCGGGGCTCGCTTGGGCCGAAACCCACCGTTACAGCCGGGAGCGAGCGGCCCACCGAAGGTCACCGAGCAGGGACGGACTCCGCTACCGCCGCGGGGGATGCTGGGAAAGGAGGCGCCACCGAGGGAAGACAGCGCTCCAAGAGAGGCGCCGCCGCCGCGCAGCGCCCCCTACGGCGGCGGAGGACGAGAGCGCCCTCCCCTGCGCCGCGGCCGCGCCCGACGCCCTGGAGCGCGCGCGGGAACAGCGGCCGCCGCCTCGCTCCACGTCCCGAGTCCCGTCCTTACCGAAATCCGGAATAAAACTCCTTAACACCAGTGTGAAGTTGAGAAGCAGGCACTTCGTTCCTTGCAGCGCTGGGGACACGGGGGATCACTCCTCCAAAGGTGTGTCCGACTTAGTATCAAAATCCATCCGTTTTTACAGACTTTTTCTGTCGGGTCATTGTTACTCAAGTTCTTTACATAAAAATGCATACTATGCTCGCTCTTAAATTTAACCTTTATAATGATTGGTCCTTTGATTATATAACCTTATCAATATTCTTATTTGGAAACAATCATTGGTCAATTTCACTTAGCTCTACCGATTGGAATCTTCGATACTCAGATCGAGATGGGAAGGGTAATGGGAAGGGTAAAGGGGTTTCCAAGCAGCATAAGTCCGTGACAGTTTCCTTAGTTTCTTAAACCAAAACATAGAAAACCCAGTAACTTCCTGGTGAGGTTTCCATAGTCAGCTATTTCAAACTTTAACAATATTAAGGTTCCTATAGTCACACATAATGCAGTTCCTAAAGTTTCTATGGCTACATTTCAAACTTAACAATCCTATACATTATGCTTCACAATCAAACCTAACTCTTCTATGTGATTAAATTTTGATTTCTTTATCAGAATATTTGCAACAGCGTCACGTCCTTGCGCCCCCTCAGCCGCTCCAGGGCCTTGCCGGGCCCTCACAGAGTTCATGTAGAAATCCAGACGCAGCCCCAGGGTCCCCCTCACCCCAGCGTTTCACCCCATCTGCACCTCACCCCTCCCACCTGAGAAGGGAACACGGCAAGTCCAACGCCAGGACAATGCCAGGAAGAGCCTGCCGAGTCTTTCTGTAGTGTGTCCCTTACAGAATAGCTTGTCCTGGTGGACCGGCAGGCACCCGCTGCGACAGGTTCAGGAGCGCTGAGGCATCTACGTGCCTGTAGGCCACTTCCTCCAGGTGACGGCAAGGCCTGGGATTCCAGAGCAGCTCTCGGCCGTTGTTCTGTGGGTGTGAGGGGGGAAACTGACTACCCCACGCCCCTCCTGGCCGAGGAGGGAGGGTGCCTTATCCTGGGAAGAGCACAGGAGGGAGCCGGCGGGGCGGATGGCCCACCTCGCCGCTCGGGAGAGCGGCGCCCGCCCCTCGGCTGTGGCTACAGCAGGAGGCGCCTGGCCCTTGGGTCACGTGCCAGGGGCGGGGCCGGGCCGAGGGCGGGAAGAGGGGCGGCGTAGGCACGCGGCGGGAGTCGGGGTGCGAGGCATGGGCCGCGTGCAGCCGCCATCATGCTGCGGCAGCTCACCGCGGAGCAGATCAGGGACTGGTTCACTATCGGGAAAGCCGTGACCGCTGTCGAGTTCTTGGGCGAGGAGGCGCAGGCCGGCGCCCCGTGCAGTCCCCCCTGGCGCCCCCCCGGCCCCCTTGCTGCACGGGAGTCGTTAACGGCTGCCGGGTGAGTGCCGGGCACTGAGCCTCTGCTCTTGGTGGCCAGGAGCTGCTCCTTACGGCCGGGGTGAAGGGCCGTCTGTGAGGGCACTGGTGGCCTCCCTTCTCTCATGTGCACAGCCGTGTCTGGACTTCCCCCCCTCCTTCCCCACTCTGCGTGGGCCCAGGGTGGTGCGGTTGTTGGCTTCCAGCCTAACACCCTTGGTCATGTTTGTGGCTGTAGTTCAGGTGTGCACAGATGTGTTTTTGTGGGTTTAATACTTAAGTTATTTTCTGATTTGCTAGTTAGGTCTGTTGTCTTGATCATCGCTAGACATGCTATGTGTAGGATTTGCTTTCTCTGAAGTGCATTAGCGCTGGCGTGAAATTCTGGCAAGTGCTGGTGAAAAACTGGAACAGACTTAGAGAAGATGTGGTTTATTCTGATTTAGGTGTGTAGCTTAGGAATTTTGGCAGTGGCAAGTGATAAATGAGATTCAGGAGTAAACTTATTTGCTCATTAGGGAACAATATTTTCACAGAGTATGTTTCTATGCATTTAACTTTTAAATCAGTGAGCAACACTGATGATTTGGGCTGATCTTCTTTGCCCCTTAGCACTATTACTAGCTTTTCTCATGTTGTTTTCATTGACAGATCCTTGAATGTTGAATAATTATTTTATAGTACATAAATTATTTGGTAAGTAGTTTCATATGTTATTTGTAACTAAGTGCTTTTCATTTATACCAAAGTTCATAAGCAAATAAACTTAGTAATAAGTGGGTGTTACCTGCCCTATACCTCTGTTAGTAAGTTTAATTTGGTACTTAATGTTATGAATTCCTGAAAAACTGACTTATTTCTTACCTGTTCTTCTCCCTTCTTAATGTTCCTCCCCAGTCAGCAGTTTTCTAGCAGTTGAGATACTGAGTCACTTACAGCAGATGTTCACAGTTATTTTCAAACTGAATCTTTCTGTTTGTTTCCCTGTAGGAACTTTTGTTTTCTCTGAGCAATAGTTTACAGTCTGTTTTCCTGAATCGACTGCTATGTGTTTTCTAACTAAACTGTGCATGTTTATTGCTCTTGTGACCTATCTGAAGCATTTAAGTTACCAGGGTAAAGCTAGTTCAGGGTATATTGGCATGTCACTTCTTGGATGTGTGTTAATCTCAGATGGCAGAGTTTACAGCCAAGGAGGAGAACTGTATGTGTATTTGCATAGCAGCCAGGTACATTTGGTTTTCACTAGTGTCTGGATCTTGGAAACAAAAAAATACTTTCCTCTGGATGCTGCCCAAACTGGAATGTGTTGGGCAGTGCATAGTAATCTTAGTATTTAGATCAGGTTTGGTTAGTGTATCTGTGGTTGCTATAGAAAAGTGTTGTCTATACAATTCCACACACTACAGTCTTTTTCAAAATTAGCTGGAGGTACAGTCTAGAGTGAGTGTCTTTTTTTTTCCTGTATGATGTATAGCAGTACAGTCAGGAACTCTCTTAAAGGGTGTACATAGGCTTCTAAGAAAGAATGAACCTTTTGCATAACATCTTAACAGCAGATATTCTGACGGTTCAGGAGAGACTGTTGTCAGTTTCTGTCTTTGCTTCAAGGAAAGGACAAAACTGCTGCATCAGAATATCTATCCCCTCTCATCCTTTAATTTAAAAGTGCTGCTATTAGGAAGCTCTGAATCTCTGACTGAGAGCTACCGGTTATGCAAGTAGTTAAAATTTTCCAGAAGTGACTGGACAGAATTTTATATTTTTTTAACGTTATTTACTATGAATGTAATTCCTAAACCCAGTATGTGCAAGATGTCTGGGACTTCTCAGCCTTTATTTAGGTGCCAATAACATTTCTTAGTATTTGGGAAGGGTTTGACAAGAGATTCTTGAACCTAACTGAGCACTAAACCACTGAAATCTACTAAATAACACAGGAGAAATTAGCAAGATTCTTCAAGCTTTGTGTGCCTAGGTAGAGGCAAATCTTTATCTTTGGTTAGGCAGATGCCTTTTTTCCCCTCAAAAGCCTTAGCAGATAACCTAATTGTGGGGTTTGACAAATGTGTTAACAGAGAAAAGTTATTTTTACAGGTTCTTTTTTTTTTTTTTCTTTCCCATCTGAGAAAGAGAGAGGGGGGATATGCCTCCTAAATAGCCATTTATGTAAATGTGGACAGAATTTGTCATCATTAGGCATGTGTAAAATCTTTGAGCATCAATGATAGGTGCATGTGTGTCATGCAGCAAAATGAAGAGAACCTCTTCAAGAAGGTATGTTTGCTTAGCTGTGTTTTGTTTCCATATATGCTTCTGTTTCACAGTTCTGGGAGTGTGCTTACATTTAGAGAGTTTTTGCAGAACTTGAAGAATGTTGAGAAGGTTTAGATTCAAGTAGGAAATGCTTAGAATTTATTCACTGACTTCTTAAGAAGGAGTTTGAAGAGCTGAAAACAAAAGAATTTCTCTCCTTTTGTTGAGGCTGCTTGTAGCATAATAGTCTATTTTAATATTTCCTTCAAAACTCTTGATTTGTTTCTTGCGAAAATCAAACCCAAAGTTATTTCAAATTTTTCAAGTTCTTACTTACATTTATATCAAGCAGGATATATGATTATTGATGGAGACTGTCTTCTACTTCTTTTGTCTAAATTTAGGTGTAAGAATGTGTAGGATTAATACCAAATTGGTAATCATAGTAACAGGTGTGTTATTGCACACAAGTGTGTGTAATAACTAATATTTTACAAAAATGTTACTGAGACTGTCTAATGGGATGTAAAAGCCTTATGTCTCCTTTAACAAGAGATGTAGAATGTATTCTCCTTTACTGATGATGCATCATTTTGCAAGGCTTTTAAGATTGTCTTGTTACCTGAACTACCTCTAGAATAACAGTTTTAGTAATTGAGCTTGTTGGGGAAGATAATAGTTCTCAGAAATTGTGGTTGTAATTTTGATCCTTAAATAGCTTGTTGATTAACTTTTTAATTCCTCTGATTACTTTTAACTGAATGAAAAGAAGTTGAGACCCTTAAATCCTTCCTCGTTATCAAAACAACTGTGGGTCACATTAAAACACTTAAATGCTTAAGTGTGGAAAAAGTAATTATTCTCTCTTTGATTTTTTGCATTTCCTAAGTGTAGCTTTCACCAAGTTAGCCCTTTTTTATAGCTAGCTTATTTGGCTAAAAACATTGCATGCTGTTTTTTCTGCCTGACACCTCTGCAGGTGGGAGACATTGCTGCCCTTTGAAATTATTACCACTCACCTTTCTGTTGTCGGAGTGATTTGTGTCAGCTGCCTGCCTATGTCAGAAATACCAGCTGGGTTAGTGTAAGGAACAATATAGTTTCAGATAACCTCATGCAAATCATGTAGGCCATAAATAAAAAGTGCTTAAAGAAACAGT